GGTGGCCGTAGCGGTGGCAGCTGCCACCATCGCCGCGGCACTAAATGTCGAACCACCACCCCCGTTCTGGGGTGGCACCGTGTTATGATAGCCGGATGATAACACGGGCTGCACCCCAACGCCGATCGCCGCCGTTGTTGATGGTTTTCTTGAAGCTAGTTCCAACGAAAATGACAAACTTGTGTCGCGTGATATAGGCGTTTCGACGAAAACTGGGATGGTACTGCAAAAGATAAGAAAAAATGTTACTTCTAATGGAAATTAGAAATTATTCGATGAGTTCCATATATGTACAGCATTGCTTGAATTCCAAATAGAAGATCAAATAAATCGTAATTCTCGCGGAACTGGTAGCGACCCGTTGACAAGGAAAAGGGAAAAGATAAAGACGATATTTCTTGTTTACTCTTGTTATATCTGTTTATTGTTCTTGCCATTAATTTTAGATTACGTTGAGCTCGAGGCACTGATCTTATGAGGCTAATTTGAAATTAGACAAAATCCCTATTAATATTTAAACGAGTATTATCGTAGTTTTCTTCGTTAAAATACATACATGCATTAAATAAATGTATTGAAAAATATAGTGGTTACTTAAAATTTGTCATATTTGTCCTTAAAAGACCAAGGATTCATAAGGTGAGATATTAACTACAGATGTGTGATACTAGTTCAATAAATTTGGTTGAAGAGTAAATGGTCGATACGGGTGCAATACAGATATCTCTTTGTAGGTCAGATTCATGTTCCAACTATTCTGTACGAGCAATCGATTGTATTGTAACGTTCTCTATTTTCCGCGATGCAGCAATAATATATGTGAGTTATTCATGATCGTTGAATTATTTAAGAAGGTCGACAACTTAAATCGCGCATCGCGTGGTTACTATTCGGGCCACGCGCCGTTATCGATAATTTTTACTGTATTTTATAGATCAATGATCATCGCAATCGTTAATCTTAAAATGTTTAATCTTAAGATTTAGAAAATTCCAAAAGCCTCTAAAGCGTTTTCAACAATCGCAAAATGGAAATATGAAAAAATGCATTCGTTATTGGGTGCATTACAATCTTCCAGATAGAGCTATCTCGGCTTGCTTAAACTAGCACGTAAAACTCTTATCACAACTGTAAAAAGGAGGAAAAGGAAACAAAAGAAATGGAAAAAAACAAAGAACGAATAACCAAGCACACTAGTTCCATAACATTGCTTTAAGCAATCTTTAAAATGTTCAATCTGTTATTATTTTCTACTTAAAAAACAAAAGACGAAAAGCAAATTCACGAAGAGAGAAAAAATGTTAAGAACGAAGCTGAAGTCCTCTTGAATTTTTCTAACGTCTTCTACTTCTCTCCTAAAAATCGATTTACCTGCTAGCAGCGCTCCCATGCCTTTTCTCATCTTACAGAATTACATATAAGATATAGGAAAGGAAGTTGGACGCTTTGTCGTATCCCTTCTATCGATACAAGCCCCGAACATTGTTCGTTCTTTCGAGTAGCCTTCCTTCTCGTTTCTGTCCTCGTTTTGAGACGTGCATACCCCAAAAGATCGAAAGACCGAACCCTGTGCGCACCGTTCATATTCCCAGCTGGCCAAGGCCCCTATTGGTTTTCTGTGGGAAATGCACGTGCTCACTATTCACACACTGCTGCTCTCTGCGCTTATAATACCGTTCTGCTACAAACACCGCTTGCCGGTGCAATCGTGCCCCGGGAACCAACGCGCTTTGCACGATCATTTTCGACTTTTGCGACACCCAGATGGAAAAAATCTCGGTGGTAGGTACCGCGAATTTTCTCTGTAAACGGAAATATCGCTCAGAATCAACAAATCTGTTCAATTCATTTCCATGAAATATTGTTTATCACGGTCATATTTATCATTGCTACTGTTTGATAACATATCATATTACTAATGCAGATATATTTGATGAATTGTTCGCGTTCAATCATAGAACTCGTATTCATGCTGAATATTTTTAATCGTTATTCTTTGTATTTTTGCTTTTTAATGTATTATTTCCCCATGAGAACTGAAGTAAGTATTCATTTCTAAAGAACTACGGTACTATTGTCTACGAGTAATCGATGTTTATTAGAAGGATAGTAGAGATTCTAAATAAAACGCCTATGTGGCGTTCAAGTTGCGCTATACAGGCGAGGAAATACGGCTCTTTAGTAGATCGTGCTATTGTAAAGAAATTTAACTTGAAACTGCGACGATACACGAGGGAAAACTACTTAGAGATGTAAAAGAACTCATGAACAAGGGTATATGATGACCATTGTTCTGCATGATGTTCGAAACTCGTGGAGCCACATGAAAGAGTGCACCATGTGTATCGTAGCGTATCTTTTGCGATATCGCATTACCACGTGCACGTCCAGATTCTTGCGCATGCTCGTGGAAATTCTATAAAACGACTGGTAATTTCTGCGCAAAAGCACAGACACCCGTGCCCTTTAATTTTATCGCTTAAAGAGTTCGAACATTTTCGATCGAATACGAATTTAAACGGATAGATTACTTTCGCGCGTTCATCGATCTAGGTGGCGCCATCTGCGCAGCTCTTTTTCATGAAATAAGGTACGCTTCGAGCATTCGCAATTCAATATAGAATAAAGTATAAAAAATGAAGAATACGCATTGAGGTACGCTTCGAATACTCGCAATTCATAATAAATAAATAAATAATAATACTGAAAATTGTATACATCAATTTCTAACTATTATTAAAGTAGCTTTTATGTATGATTATGTATGATTTGTAATAATTATTAATAAACGTTTAAAACGTGTAATATTTTATTGTTATTACTATTACTATGAAAAGAATGCAATATCGCAAGTACGAAGTTTTACTTCTGTACAAATAATAGAAGATTTCTTATATCTTGGTTAAAATCAGTATTTTGGTAGCGCAAATTACGTTTATACATTGCTAACCTTGAATTTAACTTTGATAGAGTCACTTATAGAGTGAGCAATCGGTCGATTTGATAAGATACCAATTTATAGACATTTGCTTCTACTCTGAGTTATAAGATAACGATTTTACATTTTAGCATATAGAACGATGATAAATTACTAATTGAAAATTATAGAAATAATATCTGCCATTTTCTTATCTTTAAAGTGACACAATAATATAATTTTACCTTTCTATAACAATGTTTATTGAAAGTCTGTTGAAGATTATTTAAAACTCATAGATATGCTAAAAATATTTTACTGTTCGAAATCTTTATATTTTCAGATATATAAATTTCAAGGCATTTAAACTTAAGAAGGCTACACCATTGTTTAACACGACAGAGTATTATTACGAATGTTGCACCGAATAAAAACATTATAATCGGTAAACGAAAGGAACGTCCTCCACTGTTAAAAGAACTAGAATAAAAAAAGGCGTTATAAATATCTCGTTAATCATTTGCTAAATAATTTTTTTCGCGCTCACTTAACCCCAGTGGTTTTCAAAGTCAACGGAAGAGGGGCGCCTCCTCTCGCCAACTAAAACGAAAAAGAGTGTTCTCCCCGTGTACGGTGTCCTCCAGACACGATTATGGCACATCGAACAAAAACAAATTTCGAATAATAGCCTCTCGGTCGAATTCAATACGCCGCCAGTAGAGGAACCTATAGTATCGTTTATGTGTATACATGCATTATACATATGTGTTAGTATATTGGGGTGTTCATTGTTCATAAAAAAAAGAAAAAAAGAAAGAAGAAAGAACTTATTGAAGGACATTGTCAAAACAAAAAGATTGTTATTACATGAAACAGTTGTATCGAGTCGTCAGAATATTAATATCGTTCTAATATATTTTTATGATAAGTGTTCTACTCTGCTAAAAACATTACTAAAAACTGAACTTCCTTTCTAACTTTTTTACGTCTTCACGTATCGTAGAAAACAATTGTCAAAACTGTCAGATTTCTTGTTTTGTCGCGTAATGCATTAATAACAAATAACATACGTAAATTAAGAATGTGATGACTATAACGTATGTTTCATTTCTAAGCTAAACATTCCCATATTATTCTAGGAGTAACGGTCCAAATCTTTCCACAAGTTGCAAAATTCTGTTGAACGTAGTTCAATATACCAGTGTAAATACATAACGCGCATGTAGTCGATTATAATTAACACTGTCGCAGAATCTACATCAGTACAACAGCCAAGAGTGAATTCCTTAAGGAACACATCTTCGTGCGTAATGATAAACAGGCAATACCATTAACGCATTACGATCGTGAGTACTACTACTCCTTGAATCTTTTTCTTTGTTCACCGTGCGTTATTGTGTTGTATTAGATTTCCAAGACACCCTGTATGTACATGTACCCGTAACGTACTTACGTCCAGATATAGCACGTACAGGGAGCATTTTGAAGGTTGACGTCATCCAAGTCCCACCCCCTTTAAATTTGTGCTGAATGCAACTCGGAGAAAAAAATGAGGGAGAAAGAATGAGAGGGAGAGACGGTAAAAGGGTGCGCAAGAAAAAGACAGAGGGCGAAAGAGAGGGAAACCCATCGAACGGATGCCTTTTCCCTTCGACGCTCTCTGTTCTCCCTTATCCTAACCGTATATTCCTTTGCCCCTTCTGTCTTCCCAGTTGAACGGCAATCGGGGCGGGGTGGGCCCCTCTGTAAAGCCTGCAACGGGTTTCTATTCTCGGATGTCAATATTTCGTCAACTAGAGCCCACTCGGCATGCAACAAAAGCCCCTATATACAGCTTGCGCGGCTGGCGTGAGAGAAAGAAAGGAAGAAAGAACCGACAGAGCGTCCGTGATTCGTTAGATGGCGTGTTTAAAAGAGGATGTAACATGGCGAAAACGAGAAGTCCAGACGGGTGCGAGTGCAACGCCTAGCGGGAAATCGAATACGAAGCGTATTAAATCACCGTTTATTAATGCACGTTTATTATTAACGTATTATTAACGTATAACGTTTATTATTAATTAATTCAAAATTTTGGCCAGGAAAATATTTTATTTAGGTACCTTTATCCATATCTTTTGAACAGAAAGAGGGAGAGAGAGAGAATGTCTTTTCGAATTGTTTTATTAAATATGTTTGTACTACAATTTATGGTATTTTACTGTATTTTGCTGGTAACTGTGTTCTTCTAAGGTCGTTGGAAATATAAAAATTTAGCAATAAGAGGTGTACCAGAGTTCTTAATGCAATGTAATTTAAAAAAAAAT